GTCGCCCTCCCAGCCCTGCTGCGATACTGTTTTCCAACCTCCAGTGTTTGTGGGTTTGGATCTTGTGAGTTAATATTTTGGTATTTTGTAAATTGATTTTGGTATTTTGGTTGTGGTTTGTGATTTTGTTTTGGATTTTAAATTTAGTTTGTGGTTTTGAATTTAGAATTGTGAATTGCAAATTAGAATTGAAATTGGAATTTATGGTAATTAGATTGAAATTTGTATGAAATTTATTTGATGATGATTAAAAAATAGGCAACCTATGGAAATATTAAGAAGTTTAAAATAATGAATTATATATATGGTGATTAAAAAATTTAGATGGAAATTTTAATTAGTATTATATGAATAATTAAAAAAATTAAAAATAAATATTATAAAATAGTTAATAGAATGTTAAAGACATATTACAAAATAATTTGTGTTAATTTTCATAAAATTTGAAAAAACTTCATAAATCCTTCGTAGTGGAGATGCCTATGGATGTGTGGTGACCGGAGTCAAGTTTTTGACATACAGTCAGAATATCAATCGAATTACTCAGAATAGTGGTATTTGTGTTCGTGGACCAGATAATCATACATATTACGGAGTACTGGAAGAGATTTATGAATTATCTTACATAAACGACAATTCTGTTCTTCTATTTAAATGTAAGTGGTTCGACACTTATCGCGGATCAAAAACACGATTACGAAAAGATTATGCAATAAGATCACACAAGGATTTATAGTGGTTTACTTTTAATTCAAGAGCTACGTCCACTGTGGGGAGGAGAAAAATTCACTATCTTTTGGAAAAATGATTACATACTATCTTTCTCTGAAGTAGTACTCTCAATATATATCATCTGCAATCTCTGCAATTTTTCTTATTTTATCTGGGGATATTTTTCTCACATTTTGGGATAATATCCGTGGTAGGTTGGGATTTCTGTCAATTAACCCGATTTTCTCACTTACTTCCTTACTTACTTCGTATATTTTAATTATAAATCACAAATCTTGGAACAAGTCTCATACTTCTCTCGATCTATGTGGACTCTACTTCGTAGGCACTCTCAGAGCCATCTGCACTTACAGTTGCTGGTGCGGTCAACCTCCTATTGTTCTCGACTCCTCGAAGCGGTCGATCACCTTTATATGCCACTCCCTTTACTTGCGGTCTACTCCTAAGAGAACCGTCATCCAACGTGGCAGCTAGGGCAGAGCTGTCTCCGGTCATTTAATGCCCTTATTTATGATGCGTGGGTCTCATCCAATGCCTAGCTTAGGGTTTGGAATTCTGCCCTACAACATATGTCCTTGTACAAAATGTGCCCATTCATTTATAACTTTGAGCAAATGCTCATTAGTATACGCCTCTATGTTTTTTAGATCATTAAAACCGACTCTCATTATTGTAGGGCAGTTTCTAGCCACTTTCTTTGGGAGCCAAAGACTTGGGGACTATCCTTTAACGGCTTTACAAAGGTCGTGAATAGGTTCTACCTAACGTCCCGAGCCATCTTTGCCGCACAAGTAAGCTTGTATTTTTTACAATCTCTGAAACCATGAAACTTTTAACGAAATCATGCCAAATTCGATTCACGTTATCTTTATTTTCTTTATGTCACGTGCCAAAACACTGACATAACTTTGTAGCTCATTCACCGCTTTTCTAATGGTGTTGTTTTTTCATCAAATTGCACTTCAATTCTTTCTCCTTTATCCCTCATTTTGGCAACTCTACACATTATGGTTGCCCTTCATTTCCTATCATCACCTGGGTCAAATTTTATTCTTTTCTTAAGTTCATATTGATTTCTCCCATCAGAAATGCCTTCCTCCCTAAATAACTCTCATGCGGTATTAAGTTCTTCCTCGAACCAATCACGGCCCACCATGTTTCTAACAGTCAACATATAATCAACGTATATAGATTTAGTTTCATTCTTACTACTAAACTAAATAACTTAAAACTAACCTAATCAACATTGAATTAACCTAACCCAACCAATATATACAAAAAATGTACTAAATAACTTAAATTTAGATTTAGTTTCATTCTTAGTTCTACCTAACTAACTTAAAACTTCTTAAATCATATACAATAAATATTCACATTTACATCCAAATATTCATATATTATTAGAAACGAAATTAATTTTTTCTAATCCTAACAATCATATAATATTTAAAAAAAAACCATCGTCTAATAGTCTAATGAAATTAAAAATAACCGTCATCTAATATATAGTGGACATTATTATAAATTTCAAATCCAAAAAATAGTATAAATTAAATAGAATAAAAACAAAACTGAGCAAAAAAAAAAAAAAAAAATTATCGACTGTAGGTTGCAGTTGGTGGCGGTTTTGCAAAGGCAGAGGTTGCTGGTGGTAGTTTGGCGATGGCAGAGGCAGCCGGCGACAAAACTTCTCAGTTTAGCGAACACCGGGGCAGCTTGGAGTGTACGATGGAGAGAGACGGAGTGAGAGATAGAGCGAGAGATGGAGAGAGACACGGAGAAAGAGAATGTTTCTTATAAAAGACATCGTCTAATTTGAGATGTTAAATGTTAATTTTTTTTTTGTAGTGTTTTCAAAGAGAAATTATTTTTTTAGGGTTATTGATATTGTTAGTCTTTGAGTTTTGACCATTGTGACATTTTTCTTTATTAAATTTTAATTTTGACATATTAGTCCTTGAACTTTAGTTTTCTGAGACCAAAATTAATGTCGAATAGTTTTGTCATTTCTTCTGTATATGTATACCCAGAACTAGGAGGTATAGAACAGCTTCTCTCAATCAAACTGTATTCAACTTCGGTTGATCCTATGTACCCCGATATTCTTAATTACAACTTGCTTGACTCATTCGCAATCCTACCTTAATATAAGATAAGTTCATTCTTCTTGTTTTTTTTTTTTTTTTTTTTTTAAAAATCAATAATTTAGTTTTTTATACTTTTCATTTATTTTTATATTTTGCATGTTCAAAATGATATCTTCAACAACCTCATAATTTTATACGATCTTTATGTCTCTTTTTTCTTGTTAGCAGTTAAATAAATCTTACATGTTGTTTTATAACATCACTTAATTTATTCTTACTCTTTGTGTAGAAAAAGACATTATTTGGTTGAGTTTTTTTTTTTCCACCGTGAATTATATCTTTTAATTCTTTCTCTACTAAAAAAAGGACCAAAATTGTCGAAAAACAAAAATTCAAATACTAATATGTCAAAATATAAAATTTAAGAACTAGAATGCCACTATTCTAAAAGTTGTGAAATTAAGAATATTACCAACCACTCTTTTTTTTTTATGCAAACATTTCCTTTTTTTAGTATCTCATTATATAATAAAAGTGCCCATGTGCTCTTTCGTCCAAAAAACCGCACCATTTTGCGGTTTATTTATTTATTTATTTTTTGCTTTTCTTTTCTTTTATACTATTTTTCACTCCTTTTTTTGTTCTCTTCTTTTTTTCCCTTCTCCTTTGCTATACTTTATTTTTCTCCACCTTTTTTTCTTCAATTTATCTACTATAGTCTCTCACCCTTAAACTACTTCCCTCAACGTTTGGGACTCCCTTCCACTCCGTCGTCAAGAGGCCGAGTAAGAAGCCCAACTTAGGGCGTCGATTTCATTTGGCGTCGACGGGTCGTACCGTCGACCTTACAACATAAAAATCTCTCGTCATAAAATCCACCGCCAAGAAGAACGATTGGGCTAAACAACACTGGCGACGAGGGGAATGCTCCTTGGAGTAAAACCTGACGTGGCAAGTTGCGTACAGTAATGAGGGGTATTTACAGTACAGGCATTAAATGTAAAGCCTTGAACCGCCCCTACAGGGGACAGAAAAGGGTTACAGCTGTGCACAGAGCCGTAATGGGAGACTAATTGGCTGAGTGAACAGTGCGCAAAAAGTGATTAGTGGGCTACGGGCTGGGCCTAGAAAGACAGGCCCCTTGAGTGCTTTTTTAGCTTATAGGAGGAAACCCCCCCGACGAAGGAAGCTCGGCTATAAAAGGAGAGAAACCTCATATGGAAAGGAGGTTGATCTTTAGAGAGAAAAGAACGGGAGAGCAATTTGTAAATTGTAACAATCTCAAAAGAAATAAAAAAAATCACAGTGGATGTAGCTCTTCATTTTATAAGAGTGAACCACTATAAGCCTTGTGCGTTTTTCTACTTTAAGTATTTTTTCTTATATTGCTCACTACACAAAAAATACCACAAGCACATCAAACTCCTACATATAACCTATATTTAAGTCGGTAATCCGACGGGAAACCCAGAGGTAAACCGGCCTGTTTTTGTTGGTGAAAATTTACCGTCAACAATTGGCGACTCCGCTGGGGACGACACGCGTTGGACCCCTAACAACAACAACATAGTCAGCAAGCATGCCTCCAAGAAGAAGAATTGAGGCCAACAACCAAGGCAGCCAGATGGACGAGACCGCCACTCATCCGGTGAATGACGGGGTGGAGGAGGTTCCACCCCCAGTCAGAAACGAGGTCCGTCCCCAGACGTGCTGCGGGCGGATCCTGTGCAGATGTAGGCCCAACTAGCCACTCTAACCGATCTGGTACGTGGACTAATGACCGTGGTCGAACGCTTGGATGGAAGAAACTCTATGCCACCTTTAGAAGACGCCCCGAGGCCGCTAGGACCTGCCATGGCTGAAAACCCCAACCCTGGTGACCGCCGACATATCTTAGAAGAGATCGGGGATAGCAATAATCAAAGGGGCTATCCTAGGCCCCGACCTTCCCAATCCTCCGGCGGCCGTTTAAGGGCCTTCAGACTCCAGGCTCCCGAGGACCCGATACCAAGAGGCTAGGAAAACCCCGAGGTACTACCCCATAACCCAGGAAGAAACCCACTGGGAGACTCAGGGTCAGTACAGGCGGGCGGGTAGGCAAGAGGCGGACCCAACGGTAAAAGGGCAGAGGCGTCGAGAGTAGCTGGCTCGGCCATCTCAACAGAGGAGGCGCGCGCCATCATGGAGAGCATGGCCAGCCTGGAGCAGAAACTCACAGGGGACGTAGCAGGCCTGAAAAAGAACATAGGGCGAGTGGCTGAGGTGGTAAACGTCGACATCACACCTAGCCACACACATGACCACCCATTTACTGAAGAGATAATGGCGCCACCTCTCCCCGACAAATACAGGTCGCTGTCGATCCCACCATATGATGGTCGAGGGGATCCCGACGATCATTTAGAAATGTATACGGGGCACATGCTCTTACATGGGTATGCCGAGGAAATTATGTGCCGAGCCTTCCAGAACCATTTAACGGACTCTGCCCGAAGATGGTTTCGGAAGCTGAGGCCAAATTCTATCTCAAGCTGGGATGAGTTGAAGGAAGCATTTTCCCTCCAATTCATAGGAGTTAAGAAATATGTCCCACCAAAGCAGAACCTGATGACGATATACCAAAAGCCGAATGAGTCATTGAGAGAATGGCTTGCAAGGTATGGGGAAGCTGTCGCCGCCACGATGGATATAACTGACAGAGAGGCCTTGATGGGGGCATTATCTAGCATGAAGAAAATTACCCCCTTCAAAAGAGAGCTGAACCGAAAGCCCCCGTCCAGCTACAAGGAATTTCTTGCGCGAGCGCAAGGATACATCAACGCCGAGGAGGCAGACGCGAACGACCCCGACCAAAGGTCCAACAAGAATAAAGGGACCGAACAAGGGTCGAAGCCAGCAAAGCAGGATGGGAAGAAGCGTCGAGGTGGAGGAAGCGGAGACAAGCAGCCAGCTGCGACGTCGAGTGCTCCAGAAGCCAATAAGCCAAGGCAAGAGGAGAACCGTAAGCCTCAGCTATTTCAAAGGTACGATTCCTACCACGAACTGACAGTAAGAGTCGAGGAGGTCTTCAATCAGGTCAGCCGCGGAAATCTACTGTGCCGCCCAGAACCGATGAGGACAGATCCCAGCCGAAGGAACCAGAAGAAATTCTGCAGGTTCCACGGCGATGTCAGCCACCACACCAACGATTGCGCCGACCTTAAGGATGAAATCGAGAGAGTAATCCGCGAGGGAAGGCTACAGGAGTTCAAAACAGAACGGAGACCTCAAAACGATGGCCACGGTGGGCAAAATGACGGTCGACGCCGAGAGGAGAACCAACATCCCAAGGACCGAGAACCTGTCGGCAAGGTCCGAGATCCTGTCGGCGTCATACGAACTGTCCTCGGCGGCCCCTATATAGGAGGAGACTTAAGGAGATCCTAGAAGGATTACGCCCACGAGGCCAGAGGGGTTTACCAGGAAAGATTCTGGAGTGTCTCCGGTGCAAAAACCCCACGATATAGCAGTGCCGACGTGGCGTTTAATGAGGACGACGCCAGCAGAGTTCACTTCCCCCACAACGACGCATTAGTAGTGGAAGCCATGATTGGGAACCACACTGTATGCCAAATCTTGGTAGACAATGGGAGCTCGGTGGACCTCCTTTACTCCGACTGCTTGGAAAAGATGGGGATCCGAAATGAGCAGTTGGAGAAGACCTCTAGGCCATTATACGGTTTCACCGGGGACTCCGTCATCCCTCAGGGGACTATCCGGTTGGCCATAACCACCGGAGAAAAACCTCGACAGACCACGACAATGGCCAGCTTTGTGGTAATAAAGGGGGGCTCTCAGTACAATGTTGTAATCGGGAGACCGACCCTTCAGGCGCTGTGGGCAATAACCTCCGTCTACCACCAGAAGGTCAAGTTCCCTACCCCAAACGATGTAAGTGAGATGAAGAGCAACCAGTACGAAGCTAGGGTTGCATACTCCGATGCCCTCCGTGGATACGACCAGCCAAGGCGACAGGAGGCCAGGATGGTCTATCAAAACACTGTTAAAGACATAGATCCCAGGGTTCAAGAGGAGGTCACCTGGTCCCAACCCATTGAGCAATTGGTGGAAATCTGAGTTGATGAAGGCGAGCCAACCAAAGTACTAAAAATGGGCTCAGGCTTAGCCCCCTCACTCAAGATTGAGGTTGAAGACTTCCTCAGAAAGAACTTAGACGTCTTTGCCTGGAACCATGCCATCATGGAAGTGATCGACGTCAAGGTTATATGTCACTCCCTGAACGTTGACCCCTCATATCCTCCCAAGCACCAGAAGCATCGACCAATGAACCCAGAGAGGTATGAGGCGCTGAAAGAGGAGGTCGACAAGTTGATCAACAATGGGTTCATCAGGGAGGCCCATTAACTGCGTTGGGTCTCGAACCTCGTTTTGGTGGTCAAGCCTAACGGGAACTGGAGGACATGTGTCGACTTCAGCTATCTCAACAAAGCCTGCCCGAAGGATGGCTTTCCACTCCCTCGAATAGACCAGATGGTCGACGCCACAGCAGGGCATGAAATACTGAGTTTCATGGATGCCCACTCCGGGTACAACCAGATCCCCATGCATCCAGCCGACGAGGAGCATACATCCTTCATAACCGACAGGGGCCTCTACTGCTACAAGGTAATGCCTTTTGGCTTAAAGAATGCGGGGGCTACCTACCAAAGGCTCGTGAATAAGATGTTCGCTCAACAACTCGGCAAATCAATGGAAGTCTACGTCGACGTCATGCTTGTGAAAAGTACCAGGGCCAACCAACACGTCAACCACCTGGGTGAAATGTTTGGTGTATTAAGAAAATACCACATGAAACTAAATCCCCAAAAATGCGCCTTTGGAGTTGGGTCAGGGAAGTTCTTTGGTTTCATGGTCAGCAACCAGGGGATAGAAGATAACCCTAAAAAGATTAAAGTCTAGTAGGATATGCGGTCCCCGACTAAACCAAAAGAGGTACAGAGGTTGATAGGATGCGTCGCCGCCTTAAACAGATTTATATCAAAGGCAACAGACAAGTGTGTCCCCTTCTTCGATGCTTTGAAAGGAAGTAGGCGTTTTGAGTGGACACCACAATGTGAAGAGACCTTCCAGAAATTGAAGGAGCATTTGGGCAAGCCCCCAGTCCTGTCAAAACCCAACCCCGATGAGGAGCTTAGCCTTGACCTCTCCGTGTCCCAATACGCCGTAAGCTCCGTACTAATAAGGGAAGAAGAAAGCGTATAGTTGCCAATTTACTATGTAAGCAAAAGACTCCTCGACGCCGAGTCAAGATATACCGAAATGGAACGCTTGGCCCTTGCCCTGATGGTAGCTTCAAGGAAGCTTCGGCACTATTTCCAATCTCACACAATATGGGTTCTCACAAACCATCTGTTGAGACAAGCGCTACAAAAGCCCGAAACTTCTGGTCGACTTCTCAAATGGTCGGTAGAGTTAAGCCAGTTCGACATTAAGTATGTACCGAGAACGGCGATCAAGGGCCAAGCGCTGGCCGATTTTCTGGCCGAGTTCTCCCATAGACCGCCTCCCACCAAGCCAGAAGAAGTCGAAAGTATAGAATGGAAGCTCTACGTGGATGAAGCGTCGAGCGATAACGGGTCAGGAGCCGACGTCTTGTTAATCAGCCCAGAAGGCAATAAGATCACCTCGGCGGTTCGATTTAAATTCAAAGTGTCGAACAACGAGGCAGAATACGAGGCGCTAATTGCAGGGTTACGATTGGCCAGTCACCTAAAGATTGAGAGGCTCAGCATCTTCAGCGACTCTCAATTGGTCGTCGGGCAAGTAAAAGAAGAATTCCAAGCGCGCGACAAGAAAATGGGTGCGTACTTGAGGAAAGTAAAGGAAGAACTCGTCAAGTTTAAAAACTACGAGATACTTCAAATACCACGAGCCGAAAATGCAAATGCCGACGCTTTATCAAAGCTTACATCTTCGAAAGATTTCGACGCACTAGGAGTCGTTCCCATCGAGGAACTGGAACGGCCGACCATTGAGGAAGTAGCTGAGGCACTAATCGTCCAAATAGGTAAAACTTGGATGACGCCACTCATCCAATACCTAATGGATGCACAACTGCCAAACAATAAAGACAAAGCCAGACGAATCAGGTACAGAGCCGCCAGGTACTTATTATACGACGGTTTGCTTTACCGACGAGGCTATTCGACACCACTACAACGGTGCCTGGATGATGACGAAGCCCAGAGGGTCTTCCGAGAAATCCATGAAGGAGTCTGCGGTAATCATACTGGGTGGTAGTCTTTAGCTCTTAAGGTTTTGAGGCAAGGATACTACTGGCCCATGCTCAAAAAGGACGTTTTCCAATATGCCCGATGTTTGGATAAATGCCAAAGGTACGCCACAATTCCTAGAGCACCCCAAAAAAATTTAACCTCCATTCTCAGTCCATGGCCCTTCGCCAAGTGGGGGGTTGACCTAATCGGGCCATTGCACCTTGCACCTGGGGGCTTTAAATTTACCATCGTCGCAGTAGATTACTACACCAAGTGGGCATAGGCAAAGGCTCTGACTACAACCACGGAAGCAGCCTGCACCAACTTCATGTGGAACGACATTGTGTGCAGGTTCGGGGTCCCCCACTCGATAGTGTCCGACAATGGGAAACAGTTCGATAATGCCTCAACACGAAGATTCTGCGACAGCTTGGGCATTCAAAAGGATTTCTCAACGCCGATACACCCACAATCTAACGGGCAAGTTGAAGCAGTCAATAAAATATTAAAGTATACCCTGAAGAAGAAGCTCAGTGATCTAAAGGGAAATGGACCGAGGAACTCCCCAAGGTCTTGTGGGCATACAGAACGACGAGCTGAATCCCCACGGGTGAAACGCCCTTCTCTATGGCATATGGTGTCGAGGCAGTACTGCCCATAAAAATTGAGACGCCGACTCTAAGAACTGTGGTCTACAACGATGACGGTAATACAGAAGGCATGAATGGAGAACTCAACCTATTAGAAGAAAAAAGGCTCGACTCCCAGTTACGCCTCGCCGCCTACCAGCATAGCGCAACCCGATATTACAACAAAAAAGTCAAACAACGAAGGTTCACCCCAGGAGACCTAGTATTAAAAAGGGTAACGCATAATACAAAACCCAAAAATACTGGTCCTCTGGGCCCAACTTGGGAAGGACCCTACCGAATAAGAGAAGTATTGCGGCCTGGCACCTACATCTTAGAAAGCCTCTCCGGTAAAAAGGTTCAACATTCATGGAATGCAGAACAGTTAAAGCTGTACTACCAATAATGTATGTAGTTTTTTAAACGCATCTTAGTTACATTTTTGGCAATTTAAATAAATTATGAGTTTATAGCAATATTGTCTAAAAGTAAGGAGAATTCACCCCTCAAATAAACTTGTCTGCTTAAAAAACCAAGGTATATTAAACAGACAAATGGGGCAATAAGGGATTTACGGATCACCGGCAAAAACAAAAACTTAGAAAATTTTACGAAATTTTCTAAGGCAATGACCCCAAGGGGCAAAAGCTAATGCTGACTCTTCCAAGGAAGAAAGGAGAAGAAAAATTTAGAAAATTTTACGAAATTTTCTAAGGCGACAACTGTTGGTTCCCGAATCGAATTCGGGTGCGGAAGCGTGGTGCGGGGAGAGGCGGATCGTGTATAACAAAAATTTTCACAAAACTTTTGAGATACTCTATAGATTATATTAATTTATGCACGAATAACTTAATCGCATTAATTTACATCAAGAACTCAATCTGAAAAAATACCTGGAAGCCGACTCGGATGATAACTTGAGATCTTTGACCACGAACAATCCTTGCTCCAAGTTTGTGTTTAGAATACCAAAGTCTTCCACGTCAATTCCTTGATTCCACGTAGACGTGTGTGTGGGCACACATGAGACAAAATAGGTTTCTTAAACACTTAAATTTTCACAAACACCAACGCATGCACGATGTGAAATTTGTGGAGAAAAATATTTTCTCTCTTTTTCCTTATGAGAATTTCGGCCAAACACTAACCTTTTGGGCTGAAATTGTTTTTTAAAAATTGTGTCCACAATTTTCTATCATTCTCATATTTAAAGAGTAGAAGTCAAACTTCAAAACAGAATCAAATCCCTATCTCTAATTTTGAATTTGGAATAAAAAATCCCTTCCCCTTATCTCCAAGGTGGCCGGCCACACTAGGGTTTTCTAACCCTGTGTGTGGCGCCAATTCTGATAGGGAAGGAAGAGAAAAATCATCCTTTATCCTGTAGTCCAATTTTGACTCAAATTCAAATTCCAATTTAAGTCAAACTTAAATTAATTTGAATTCTAAATTGAACAACTTATCAAATAAGTTTAAATGGATAAATCTAGATGTGTTCAAATTCAAATTTAAAAAATCACAT